TTTTACACATTTCAGGACTGTTAAATGACCTCACGGTATCCCATTACCACCTAGAATTTCCAGTGTGTATGTCCATTTACTAGAGCAGGGACAACTTTTCTTCCTGACAAAACGTTATGGTCACAGCCATCACACTCACACAATTTGCAACGTGTAGCAAATATATCAGGGCATCTTGCGAGGTCTACACACTGGGGGAAAAAGGAGCATGCGTGCGTGTGCGCCTGTGTATTTGGAGATAGGGAGCAAAGTGCTGCTCTGCCTAATCTTTTGCCCGGCTCACTAATCGGAGATGGGGGTACCGCCAGAGTGCCACTAAGCACCAGGATGCAGCCTAGGCTAGAGGGTAAATACACACCTCTTTACAGTACACCTCTCTAACTTCAATCACTTACCTCTGGTAGCTCCGTGGTGGGGCCAAACTTGATGAAATATCAGCAAAATGTCAACAGTCCCTGACAGACACCGACCTTTGCCATGGAGCAGAGTGAAACAGTGACATATTTCTAAAAACTCTGCCGAGAAATTCAATCAGACTGTCAGGTTAAAATTCCATAATAAAAATACAAGGCTGAGGTTACAAGTACAAACTGAGATCACTCTAAACTTTAATTTACCTTTCTTGATGCCCCTGGGTTAGCCTCTCTCAGATTACAAAAAAATAAAGCTAGACAAATTCAGGTTCTGGTTTCCCTGCATTAGGTCAGATGCTATAGAGGATTTGGGACAGTGGGGGAACCAACAGAAAACTTTGTATGGGACTAGGTGCCAGAGATGTGGCTGGATGGGTCTACATACTTGTGGGGCAGGTTCTTTAATTTCTCTATTTGCCCATTATTCAGAATAATAAAGAGCAACGTTGTTTCTCTCCATTGCAAAGTTTGCCACAGGCTCAGACACTGAAATAACAAACAGCAGCACCAACAGCCCTATAAGTGCATAAGCTCTGGCTGTTTTACCCCAGCAGGAGGTGGGCTTTCCGTGCGTTTTCAAAATCAGAGGCCTCTAAACAGCTTAGATGCACTCGTATAAACCTGTACGGAACTGAAAGTTTAGGAAAAGTCTGGGTTACCCATGCAATTACCCACACGTTCTAATACAGTTATCAAAGTTGATGGCACTTTCCCTCTGCCTCCCCTGCAACAAGTAAGCCCAACTTCCTTTTTGCGCCCATGGACCAATGCATTTTCCCCTCATAAGATAAGCTGAACACTAAAAACCAAAACCAAAACCATCCACTGGGTTCTGTATCATTTTCCATTCTTCCAGGAACAGAAAGTTGTTCAGCAAAATTAATTTTGCAGGGCTGGTGGGAGAACAGTCACCTCTTACCACCACTCTCTTCTATGGGAACAAAAGCTTCACTTTCCCCAGCTTCACTCTGGAGAGCAGCTCTGCAGGTCCCACTCCTGTAGGCGATCCATGGAGAGAGACCTGCAAGCCTGCATGCTGCTCCACAAGCACCCATGGGATTTCAGAAGTCTGCACAAGACTGATTGCAGGATGGGCCTCAAATCTGAACACAGAAGGGTCTGTCAGCACCACTGATTTTTCCATCTGCTCTCAACAGAAGACTAAGCTGGCATTCGACTTATCTAAGAAGGTGAGAAGGGAAGTAAAAGAACAATCGATTTCAAGCCAAAACTTTTTTCTGTAAAAAGACTGACATCAGCCTTGCTTTATCATGTTCCAGAATTGCCTGATGTTAGCTGGTATCAACTGAGTCA